ATCGAGTTCAATTCGAGGGGATACATTTCTCTATGCCTGACACGGAGAATAAATTCTCACGAAGACATAGAGCATATGAACCCCGAAAGTTACTTGCTAGGTCTGACACGGAGAATAAATTCTCATGAAGACGTCGCTTTCACTCCCACTTAAAAGGGACAAACTCAATTATAGAGCTTTATCTTATGCAATGCAAGTGTTGTGTGTGAGGAGAAATGTTCAAACCTCTGACAGAAAAATAAATAATGAAATAAAATACTTGCAAATAAAAAATATTAATAGGAAAATATATACATACTATGAAAATAATAAATATATAAAAAATTTGAAAAGAAAAAATTATAAATTAAATATATAAATTTTAATTTATAATTAATAGAGACAATTTATAATTGATTTTAAAAGTTTGACCAGGTCCCCAGCGGAGTCGCCAAGTTGTCGTAACCGGTTTTCGTCCGGGCACGAAATATTATACTTGGCGGGAAAATTGATGTGAATAAATGGTTTTGAAAATAATTTGGGAGTCGCCATCGGCCTTTTGGGTCAGGTAGGTCGAATACCTAAAGATTATTTTTTAAAAGAGTTTTAAGAAAACATCAATTAAAAAATGAACTGATCTGCGTTTATAACCAAAAATTCGTTCTTTTTAATAATAAAAAGGGATTCGTGGTCGGTTACGTTTAGGGAAGGATTAGCACCCCTACAACGCCCAAAATTGGTACTTTTTAATTATAAATTGTCTCTATTAAAAAAATTCAAAATATATTTAATTTATAATCCTATTATTTCAAAATTAAAAAATATTTATTTATTTAAAAATATCGGAAAAGGACTTCTAGGTGCCTTAAGACAGCTCTTTTCTTTGATATTAATAAATATTAATTTGAATAAAATTAAATAATAATTTTTTATAATATTTAATTTTAAAATACCAGAATATGACATCCAGTTGTATTAAGACTGTCATTTTCTTCGATATTGAAAAATAAATATTAAAATAATTTATTGAAAAAATAAATTATTATTTATTATATATATATTTATGACTACATAATAATAATAAAAATATTTAAATATATAAACAAGTAAAATTAAAACAATAAAAATATAATTAGAACTATATGAAAATATTTAAAATTGGTGACTAAATTATAGTAAAATTAAAATTAAAATTATCTAATTCATAATTAATCAAAATTATAGGGATTAAACATACTATTTTCTTATTTATTAATTTAGTGACTAAAATAAAACTTATCTAAAATTCGAATATCAGATTAAAATAAATTAAAAATATAAACTCGGGATTAAAATATTAATTATTAAAATTAAGGGATTAAATCTGTTATTTACCCTAAATATATTATTTTAATATAAAGGACTAAAATAAATAAAATTAAAATTAAAGAACCGAATTAAAAGGATTATAAATTGATTTAGTGACTAAAATGTAAAGTTTACAAATTTGAGGGATGGCGGATGGGATTTAACAATTAAAAAATTACACAAATAGCCCTCCCCGAAACGACGTCGTTCGGGAAGGGCTATTTAAAGCCAAACCCGGCTGGCCCGAAGGGCCAGCTTCATTTCTCGTTTGTTTCCTCTCTCTCTCTTCTCTGAGAGAGAATTTTCTCTCGCTTCTCTCTAAAACAGAGAGAAGCTAGCCGGCCGGCAGCCGCTCGTCGGCGTTCTTCCACCGTCGGTCACCGCCTTCGGTGGCCGGAAAAAAAAAATTTATACTAAAATATAGATCGGACCGTCCTAATGACGGTTTCGATGGTTTTTTCTTCTAAACGGCTCCCGATCGGAGCAAATCTAAGAAAAATACCTTCAGTTTTCGAAGGTTTTGGTGACGTTTGAAGAGGTCCGGTGGTCGTAGCTTCCTCGGTAAGATTCTCTCCTCCCTTTTCTTTTGTTTTTGGTTACTGATTGTTGTGAGTTGGTCTCTTTTTTTATCTTTGTTCTCGGTTTTTTTTCTCTCTGAGTCTGTTGTTCTCTTCTTTCTGTTCGCAGATGGGGTGATGGCTTTATAGCCATCACCGGTGTGGCCATCGGACCGGGTAAAAGAATGGAGTCTGGTGAGTCACCGGACTCCCAGTGGTGACTCACCGTTGGGACGACATGTGTGCGGCTGGAGTGGTGGCGAGGCTGAAGTAACGCCGCGTGGTCTTCTGGAATCTACGGCGGCGTTGGGACGTGTCCCTAGGGTATTGATACCCTAGGGTTTCCTCTGGTAAACTGTGGATCGTTGGATCAAACCAGATCCAACGGCTGAAATTGAAGATGGCGGCTGGGGGAATAGAAAAACCCTAATCTGTTAGGGTTTGTTATGGGCTCATTGATCTGGGCCACCATTTGGGTTTTGTAATATTAATAATATATATTAATAATAATAATAATAATTATTATAATAATAATAATAATAATAATAATAATAATAATAATAATAATATAAATAATATTTAAATGAAAAAAATGAATATCTTCGGAGACTATGAATGTTGAACCAAAACATAGTTGCCCTTGCTAAGAAGGCTTTGTCAGCATCTAAACAAGCTGCTGCATTGGCTGAGGACCTCAAGTTAGATCTTGATGATTCACTTTCTAATAGGTTAGTTTCTCTCTTGTCTTCCTAGTTGTATTAGTGTTCTAGGTTATTAATATGTAATGCTATTTCAGTTTGGGGTTGGCTGATTCATCGACGTCACCAGTTGAGGAGGAAGCCCTTACAGTAAGGTCAACAAGACATTTTGAGAGACAGTCGAAGCAAAGTAGGAGACAAACTAAATTTAAGGTTTCCGAGACCTATAGTTCGCGAAAAACAAATGTAAGAAAAAGGTTAAGTGGAAGTTTTAATCCCAGTGACCCACTTCAGTTTGGGCGTGAACCAACCTTGGTGGAGTGGGCAGAAGTCATGGGACTTAGTTGTTCAGCCTTGCAGGCAGAACTCCGCTCTGGAAACAGAAGCGGGGAACATTTTATCAATGAGAATTTCCGGTTGGTGGTTCATGTTGGTAAACAATATCAGGGCCGTGGTATGAACCTTCAGGATCTGCTCCAGGAGGGAAGCACGGGGCTTATTAAAAGTGTCGAGAAGTTCGTCGGTTGCCGATAAGGCGAACCATTTCAAAGTCTATAATACAACATTCCAGAACCATTCGTTTGCCGGTAGGTGCTTATCCTTGATATCATGTATGCTACATACACATGGAGCCGTGTGTATACCGAAAGTATACCAGCAATGAACCTACTTATTGTTCTCAGGAGAACGTGTACAGCCTTTTGGGAAAAGTAGTGGATCATACATTCGAGAAGGTAATCGCCGTCCTTCCAAAGAAGAACTAGCAAGTCGTGTCGGAATGACAGTTGAAAAGTTGGATAGGTTGCTATTCACAGCAAGGACACCGCTTTCGATACAACAACCCGTATGGGCAGACCAGGGTATCACCTTTTAGGTACTTCTTGATTCGGCTTGATTCCCGTACGATACCATTTAGTTTCTTTATCATATGAATGGCCACTGACAGGCAAATATTCACGCAAATGGTTGGAGAAACGAGTACTCATACAAATTTTAATGTGTCGAAGGAACTAATTCGTTGTTATTAACTTGCAATGCAGGAGGTAACACCAGATACCGGTATCGAGATCCCAGATGTTAGTGTGGAAAAGAAACTGATGCGTCAGCATGTGCGCAACCTTCTCGGTGTTAGTTTGGAATCGAAGAGAGTAGAGAAAATTCTGTCTGTGGTTGGAAACATGTTCGGACTATCCATGGAAAGGGTGAGGCAAGTGGAAAGCAAGGCACTATACAAGGTAAAGCAGTGCCTTGTCAAACAAGGACTTGGTGCATATGAAGATTTGCTTGCGTAGGTATATCGAGATACATATTTGTTTTGGATTTGACAAGTCTGCTGTTATCTAAAAAATAAGGACTAAGCCCATAACTATCTGCACACGTTACATGGAAATGAAACCTACTACTTCTTTTCTTGTTCTTGAAGCAAAACAAATTTTTTACCCAAAAAAAGGCCAGAATTAAGTCTGGAATTAATAAGGTAAAAAGGCCTCTTAGGTCCCTCTCAATTTTGTAGTTGGGAAAATTGGTCCTCTAAAAGGTAGGAACAATCTAGTCCTTATTAATTTGGAAAGTGATCAATTAAGATCAATTAATCACGACATTATGTTTTCATTTAAATTCATAAATTTTAATGCATATAATAATATATTTAGTCCTCAAAGTTTACAAGTTACGTTAATTTGATCTTGGTTCTAAAATATTTAGAGAGCTAAATTTGTTGTTTCTTCGAATTATGATAAAATTGATATAACATGTAAATTTTGAGGACTATGTCAATAAAAATTATATAAAATTAATGGAAACCATTAAATTCATTATCAACTATTATTATACATTAAATATAACAATTTAAACTATAAAAAAATAAATTTTATAATAACACACTATTAATGCTTTAATATATAAATAATACATTCTATTTACTTTTAAGTAATTAAAAAAATTATTAAGCAATAAGTTAATTTTTTTAAAGATGTTAGTATTAAATTATTGAAATAAAATGTAAATACATAACTAATAAAAAAATTGAATTTAAAGTTCTTTTTCAAGACAAATGAGTGAAGTCCATACATTTTGGGTAAAAAAATAAATTTGTTTCTAAACACAAAGTTAGAAAGGAAAAAAAAAGTAGAAATTCAAAATTTTAGTAGTTGGTTTGAAACCACGATTTCATTACATTTTTTTTTCAATTTTGACATTTTACATTGATTTTTACTGTTAAAACGAGTTTTTTAACGGAATAAATTTTTAAAAAGGATCAGTTTAGCAATTTCAAAACTGAGAGGACCTAATAGGTCTTTTACTGATTAAGAAACAGAACAACGCAAGGAAACGATGTCGTTTGGAGCACCAACTAGGAATGATGTTTGAAAATAAGCTTTCAGCCTTTCATGGCGATTCCTGGTAATCAATAGCAACAATGTCAACTAAAAAATTCGTAGGAATATTGGGAAAACCCCTTTCCAGTTCATCAACAAACTCTAAGCCAGTAGCAGAAATTACTGAAATCCTCATAAAATCAGGCATTAAACCCTTAAGAACCAATTCATCTTTGATTTCCAATCTCAACTCAAACTCAATCAACCTCATTCTTTCAAACCCAAATCTCCCCATTCATTCGTATACCCAATTCTTCAGTTTTTTAAGAACAAACCCTTCCCTTTCTTCCCAAAAACCTAATCTTCAAATCCATTTAACCTTCATTCGCAGATTGTACAAAGCTGGTAAATTTGAAGAAATCAAACAAGTATTGAAATTCATTATCTTTGATGATAATCTTAGATACTCAATTGAAGATATGTTTTGTGTTGCTGGTTTTGAGTGTGATGATTCAAACTTCCTTGAAAAGCTGTCTGACTTGTTTTTCAGAGTTTGTGTAGATAACAAAAGGTTTCAAGAGGCAAATTCGGTTTTTGATTATATGAAGAAAATGGGAATTAAGATTGATGAAAGGTCTTGTATTTTGTATTTGGTTGCATTGAAGAAGTGTGATAAAGGTGATTCCTTTTTGGGTTTTTTTAGAAGAATGGTTGAGTCTGGCGTGGAAATTAGTGTTTATTCTATGACCATTGTGATTGATGGATTGTGTAGAAGAGGGGAAGTTGAGAAAGGTAGAGAGTTGATGAATGAAATGGCTAGTAAAGGGGTTAAAGCTAATGTTATTACTTATAATACAATTTTAAATGCTTACGTTAAAAGGAAGGATTTTGGGGTTGTTCCAGAGGTTTTGAGGTTGATGGAGAGGGAGGAAGTGGAGTATAATGCTGCTACTTATACCGTTTTGATCGAGTACATTGGAAATATTGGCAAGCATGACGAAGTCGAGAAGGTGTTTGATGAAATGCGTGACAGAAGGGTGGAAGTGGATGTTCATCTTTACACTTCGATGATACGTTGGCACTGTTGTAGAGGGAGCATTAAGAAAGCGGTTGCTTTGTTCGATGAGTTGTCCGAGAAGGGCCTTGTTCCGAATGCACATGTTTATGGGGCTTTGATTAATGGTCTCTGCAAGACCGGGCAGATGGAGGCTGCGCAGCTGTTGCTGAACGATATGCAGAGTCGGGGAATCTTGGTAAATAGGGTGATAGTTAATACACTTCTACATGGATATTGCAGAAAGGGGATGATGGATGATGCATCGAGGTTAGTGTCTGCTCTGGAGAATAAAGGTTTCGAGCCCGATGTATTTACTTACAACACAATGGCTAGTGGGATGAGTAGATCGAAACGACAGGAGGAAGCGAAGAGATGGTTGTTCGCCATGGTAGAAAAGCGGTTGACGCTTAATGCAGTCAACTTCACTACTCTGATTCATATTCACTGCAAAGAAGGGAACATCGTCGAGGCAAAGAAGTTGTTTCAACAGATGCTGAGAAGGGGAGAGAGTCCGAATATTGTCACTTACAATGCTCTCGCCGATGGACATAGCAAGAAAGGAGAGCTGAAAGAAGCATATAAGCTAAGGGATGAGATGGAAGGCACAGGGATAAGTCCGGATGTGTACACATAAACATCACTGGTGCACGGTGAATGTGGTTTTGGGAAGGTAGATGAAGCAATGGAAGTGTTCAATGCAATGAGTGAGAAGGGCGTAGTTCCAAACGTAGCAACCTACACGGCAATAATTTCAGGGTTGTCCAAGAATGGGAGATCAGATGAAGCTTTTAGGCTTTACAATGAGATGATCAGTTTGGGGCATGTGCCTGATCAAAGAGTTTATACCTCACTTGTCGGTAGCCTTCATGCAAATTAAGGCCGGTTCTTGTATGCTACTTTACCTTGTCCCCCGCCCCCCGCGCCCCCCCCCCCCCCAAAACACCCCTTTTTTGGACTGTTTATATTAGAGTATGAATAAAAAAAATTATATTAGTTTATTAAATGAATGGATTTGAATAAATTTGTATTCGATTTATTTAAATTCAAAAACACGTTCGTTTATTTAAATTTGATATATTTATAAAATATATTAAAAAAATAAGATTATTAGTATTTATTCATAATATAATCATTATTCTCGAATAAACTTTTAATTGTTCATAAACATATTCTTGAATATTTTTATTTAATGTTCGTTTAGTGTTCTTTTCTATGTTAAACGAATATAATCGTGACAATAAAATGATTACATTCAAAAGCAATAGATGAGTGAATAGGGGCTCATGTAATTCTTTAAATAATGAAACATAAACACAATTATGAAATTCTCAATGGATCCGAAATGAAAATGAATAAAATTGAAATTAAACAAATGAATATAAAAAAAAAGTGTTGGTTGAAGCTCAGTCATATTGCATGCGATTTTAACATTATTTTTTGACGAAGCTTACCTAGTGTATACGTATGGCATACCTAAATTAGTTAGATCCTTTCCAATTCATAAACCGAAATATATTAAATTAATCTTTCTTTATAGTAGAGCAAAAATAATGTAAATTGAATGTTATTTTAAAAACCTTTTGTTTTATCACTCAACTTTCAATATTAATTTTTTATCACGAGATCATTAAATCATGAACAATCGACTAACATGGTTGTTTGATGTTGACTTGAAAGTCAAAAAATTTTTTTTTTTACTTCATTCCACCATCTTCTTCATCAAAATTAGGGGTTTTCTTTACCTATTTTCAACCACCGTTGAAAATTATAGTCTCTAATATTTTTTACAATCACCGATGAACTTATCTTATCATCCTCTCTCAATTTAATAGTTTAAATTTTATCAAAACCTCTTGAAAACTCATGAATGTGAGAAGAATTCTTGGGAGTTTGAGTACTTTCTAAGATATGATGTTTGTTTAAAATTTTGAATAATGAGACTTTTGAGAAGACAAACAACATGCTTTGAAACTAGCCTCATCGAATGAATATTAGAGGAAACTAGAGCATTAGAACAATAAACATTTAGATGAATTTTTATTAATGTTAAGCATGTTTCGTGGAAAATCAATCCAAAGTGAAGAAATAGAAGTGAAATGCAAACACATGCTTTAGTGTTGATTTATTACAAATGACAATCGATGATTGACCAATAACAAAGATGAAAGGAATTGATGATTTTATGTAGAAAAAAAAAAGGGAAAAGAAATAGCCATCTCATCACGTTGTTAATAATTGGCTTAAATGCCCCATTGTCCCTAAACTATACTATTTGTACCGAGTCATCTCTTAAAGTATTTTTCAAGACATTTTGTCTCCTTAACTATAAATCGTTACTTTGTTTGCCCCAAATCATTAACATCGTTTTAAAAAATTCATGAACAAATCAGAACATGACACATCACCTCTTAATTTTTATTTTCTTATCTAAATAAATAAAAATCAATTAATAAAATAAAATAAATAAACTAACTAAATTACCCTTCTTCTCCACCCCACTCCTCTTTCACATCCATTTTCTTTTCATATAAAAAAAACAGACCCACATTTCCATTTAATTCATCCAAAAAAAAAAGATCAGATGGGAGTGTTGCCTTCCGCCGTCCCTTATTCCCCACCAGGACAGTGGTCGGATTTGCGTTTAAAGGTCGATTCACAACCATAGGTGTCTCGATCGAAGAAATAAGAAAGGCGAGAGGATGAACGGGGTTGGTTTGGTTTAATTTAGGCCTCCGTAGCCGTCGTATATGGTGACCGGAGTAATGGATTACTATCTAGGTTAAACGCTTAAAGAAATTCACAGCAAAAGTGGTCATTAATCCATGCATTTCAGTGAGGGCTTAATGCCCTTTTTTATACAGCTTGTTATCTAACAGACTCATAACAACCTTATAACAGAAGGTTAACGTTCACACACACACTCATGCAACACTCAACAACCTCACGCAATTCACAACAACTCAGCTGCCACTCTAACTTCATTCACACTCAATCCTTATCTGCTAACATTCTCTCGTCTTTCTTCTTCTTCTCTTGATTCAACACGGTTGAACATGAACCTTGTCTCGAAATACTTGAAACGATGCCTTAGCCAAAGGCTTAGTAAAACCATCAGCAAGCTGAAAACCAGCAGGTACATAACTCACCCTTAGTTTACCAGCTGCAACCTTCTCCCTAACAATATGAATGTCAAGATCAACATGCTTTGACTTTGCATGAATGTCAAAATCAGAACTCATGGAGTGGTGTTAGGGGTAGAGAGACGAGAAAGCAAAAATGGGGGAGGGGTTACGGTGGAGGTGGGGAGGGGAGGGGAGGGGAAATGGGCATTTTTGGTACATTATAAGTTTTATTTTTTAATAGATTTTTATTTATTCAGATAAAAAAATAAATATTAAGGGGGTGATGTGCTTTGTTCTAATTGATTGGTGAGATTTTTTAACGCTGTTAACAATTTTGGACAAACGGGTTAGTGATTTATAGTTGAGGGAAGTAAAATGTTTCGAAAAATACTTTAAGAGATAATTCGATACAAATGGTATAGTTCAGGGGCAATGGGATATTTAAGCCTTAATAATTTAATAATTTAATGAACAAAAAGCTAATACCAAGAGTGTAGTAACAAAATTAATATAAAGACTAAAGTTTAGTGACTAACGACATAGTTTATCCTAAAATTTATTGTGGGTTAAAAAAGAAAAAAATAATTGGGACAAGCAATCAGAGGACCCTATTTTGCGTCAGCAATAGAGATGACAATGGCTTCGTTACTAGAATAAGATAAAATACGAAGGAAATATTAAGAACAAAGGTCCCTCATTTGCACCACAACCAATTTTTTTTTAATTATATAAGATAACATATATTTTTTAAAAAAAGTAGTTGTTAATATATGCAAGTTATTCCCCTAAAAAATATAGTTGTTAATAAGTATATAATAAAAAATATTTTATGATAAATCTTTAATATTAATACTAGATTTAAATTAATTGATAAATTAATCAAATATATATAATCTTTTTAAAAGGAGGGGTAAATGTCGCCTTTAGTACATAAACTATTATTTTTTGGTATATTTTAGTACCTAAAGTTTTTATTTTTTAAAGCATAGCTAAAATTTAATTTTTGTTTCATTTTAGTACATCGCCGTTAAAAACTTTAATTTTTGTTCATTCTAGTGCCATCATTCAAAATTTAAGGTTAAGTTTTGAAAAAAATGAAAGTTTATGTACTAAAATGGACCAAAATTGATAGTTTAGGTACTAAACGGGTTAAGTTTTTAATGACAAGTACTAAGATGAAATGAAAACTAAATATTAGGTATATCTTTGAAAAAAATTACAAATTTAAATACTAAAACGGATCAAAACTGATAATTTAGACACTAAATACGTAATTTACCCTAAAAAGAGTAATGACAAAAAGAGATGCCGGATTGTGATTATTGAAAAGATATAACTCGTAATTAAAAGGTGCTTATCATTTGTCGACGACGTTTGATAAAAAAACAAACAGATGGGAAGGTCGAATCCCCCTGTCAACGTCTGCCTCATTTGTCCACTTGGATTTTGGGAGGTGATCATGGCCGGTCCAAGGATACGCTGGTGAAGGGGAGAGTCGATTAACCCAATAGGACAAACAAATTAAGCTTAGGGATTACCCAACACTCATATAATATACGGATATCTCCCTTCCAAGTTGCTGGGAGTTATAATCAAACCTTTTCAAACATGCGAAAGGCCAACTTTATTGTTTTTTAGAATCACTTCTCGTCTCCATCAGCCAGGCATGTAAAATAATCATATGAACCAGATTATTTTTTTTTACCTGTTGTTTTCCTTGTAATGGTTGATAAGTTCGATGAATTATTATTTTAAGACTAGCGATGTAATTTCATTCTTTTTCTGGACTAACATGTTGAATTTACGCTCCTACCAACGATCCTTATATAAACACTGGGGGCAGCCTAAAACGCTACCATAACGAGCAAAGTTAAATTATGAGTGAAAAAGAGAACGAACCGGGAAGCTCCATGCATGGAGTTTCAGCAAAAGAACAAGCCTTTGCTTTCTCAGTCTCTTCACCCAAAATCCCAACAGACCCCACTGCGAATTTCGCACTACCCGTCGATTCCGAGCACAAGGCAAAGGTCTTCAACCTTTTTTCATTCGCCAAGCCCCACATGCTCACTTTCCATCTCTCTTGGCTCTCGTTTTTCACTTGCTTCGTCTCCACTTTCGCAGCAGCCCCTCTCGTCCCCATCATCCGGGACAACTTGAGCCTCACGAAGAGCGATATCGGCAATGCCGGCATAGCTTCCGTCTCCGGCAGCATCTTCTCTAGGCTTGTAATGGGAGCAGTATGTGACCTACTAGGACCACGTTACGGTTGTGCTTTTCTCATCATGTTGTCGGCCCCGACAGTGTTTTGTATGTCGTTTGTTTCGTCCGCAGGAGGGTACATAGCTGTGAGGTTCATGATTGGTTTCTCACTGGCAACATTTGTGTCGTGTCAGTATTGGATGAGTACCATGTTTAACGGAAAAATCATCGGACTCGTCAATGGGACCGCCGCCGGATGGGGAAACATGGGGGGCGGGGTAACTCAGCTTCTTATGCCACTTGTTTTCGAGTTGATCAAGAGAGCCGGTGCAACTCCGTTTACGGCTTGGAGGATTGCATTTTTCATACCGGGATGGTTACATGTGATTATGGGGATTTTGGTGTTGACATTAGGCCAAGATTTGCCTGATGGGAACCTTGGTACTTTACAAAAGAAAGGAGACGTTCCAAAGGATAAGTTCTCCAAGGCAAGCATGCCATTTGCCATCACATTTTCATTCTTTTTTTGTTGGCAATCAGGGATTTAATTTTATCTTTTGTTCAATTAGGTCCTATGGTATGCCATCACGAACTACAGAACATGGATTTTTATGCTTCTCTATGGAATGTCCTTGGGGGTTGAATTAACCACTGATAATGTCATTGCAGAGTATTTCTTTGACAGGTTCGGTCCCTTTAAACTTTTCAAAATCGACTATAAAAAGTGAATATTGACATTGGTCTTTGATTCCCGTATAGGTTCAACCTCAAGCTGCACACAGCCGGCACCATAGCGGCCACCTTTGGCATGGCGAACATTTTCGCACGCCCCGTGGGAGGATTCTTGTCCGATATAGCCGCGCGTCGATTCGGCATGCGCAGGCGCCTCTGGAACCTTTACATCCTCCAAACACTAGGAGGCATATTTTGCATTTGTCTCGGACGAGCCAACTCTCTCGACCTTTCCATTGTCTCCATGATCCTCTTCTCCGTTGGTGCACAAGCCGCTTGCGGAGCTACCTTCGGGATCATCCCGTTCATCTCTCGCCGATCCCTCGGTGTCATCTCGGGCGTTACTGGAGCCGGAGGAAATTTCGGGTCTGGTTTAACTCAACTGTTGTTCTTTACAAGCTCGAACTACTCAACCGCGACGGGGATTTTCTACATGGGGATTATGATCGTGGCATGCACTGTGCCCGTGACACTAGTGCATTTTCCGCAATGGGGGAGCATGTTGTTGCCTGCTTCAAAGCATGGCGAGAAATGCAGTGAAGAGTATTATTATGGAGGCGAGTGGAATGATGAGGAAAAAGAGAAAGGGTTGCACCATGGAAGCCTCAAATTCGCTGAGAATAGCCGGTCGGAGAGAGGTCGGAGTGTGGCTTCTGCAACACCAAATCCGACTTCATTGCCTGAAGATGTGTAGATACATTAAGGTTTTTGAACTGTCTTGTATAATATATCAATATCAAGCTTGTCTTGTGCACAGTGCTTGGGCGAGAATTGTCGGAAATTTCTATATAACCTCTAAATAAAATACTAAATTTCGTGTTTAATAATATTGTAAATAAAATTGTCCTTTAATTTCCTTTTAAAAAATCATTTAAAATTTAAGTTTTTATTTCCTTTCCTTCAATTAATACTTTATGGCAAAAAAAAGCCCTAGCCGTCTAAGGGTTTAGCTTTTTCATTGCTTACATCATTTAATTAATGATGTCATTGCTTACATCAATTTAGTTAGGTGAGAGTTAGATATTTGTTGAATTTGTAATGGTTTAAATTAGTTTATTTGTGTGGTGTAGGATTGTTCTTGAGTAGTATAAATACCCCTTCCCATTTTAGTTTTAAGCATCAAGAAAAATTAAGAGCTTCTAAGTGAGTGAAGAAGCGAAGTCTTATAAGAGTGAGTTGTAGTTCTTGTTTTTGAGTGAGAGTACTCTTGTAATATTTGTTTGAGTTTCAATAAAAGTTGTTTGTGTGAGTGTTTTATTTCCAACAAAGTGGCATCAGAGCGAGTTGGAAAGATCGAAGGTCTCGACGAGAGGAATACGCCGCCGCCAGAATTTTCTCAATCTGAGTTCTGACGCACCGCCACGCACCGCCGGAAGACTGCTGCCAGAAAATTGAGTTGACTCACCGAGTTGAGCCGATTCAGCCGAGTTGGAGCCCTTGACCGAGTTGTCCAAGTCCCTCCAAAGTTTTTTTTTCATCGTTCCGGATTCATCCGTGCAATCGGATTTTACAAAATCTCATTATATTGAGAGATATGGCAAATGGTATGGCACCATTCCAAGTTCCGACACTCAACAACAACAACTACGACAATTGGAGTATCAAAATGAAGGCACTTCTTGGATCACAAGATGTGTGGGATATCATAGAGAAAGGCTATAATGAGCCTGCGGATGATGATGTTTTTGCTACTCTTACACCAGATCAAAAGACAACTTTGAAGGATTCAAGAAAGAGAGACAAGAAGGCTCTCTACCTCATCTATCAAGCATTAGATGATGATGGTTTTGAAAAGATTTCAAGTGCAAGCTCTAGCAAGGAAGCGTGGGAAAAGCTGCAAACCTCTTACAAAGGATCCGAGCAAGTGAAGAAGGTTCGTCTCCAAACATTAAGAGGTGAATTCGAATCCTTAAACATGAAAGCATCTGAGTCTATTTCAGATTATTTCTCAAGAGTAGTAGCTGTTTCTAATCAATTAAAAAGAAATGGTGAAAAGTTAGACGATGTGAGGATAATAGAAAAGATACTTCGTTCGTTGGATCCCAAATTTGAGCACATCGTCGTGACGATTGAAGAAACTAAAGACTTGGAAGAAATGAAGATCGAACAGCTCCAAGGATCATTGCAAGCATACGAAGAGAAGCATAAAAAGAAGCATGAGTTTACTGATATACTCCTCAAGCTGCAACTCAAGGATATGCATGAGAGCCAACGCAATGATAGAAACCAACGTGGCCAAGGCAGAGGTAGAGGCCATGGACGAGGTGGAAGTCGTGGTCGTGGACGAGGCTGGAATTACAACAATAACAATTCCAACAATAAGTATGAGAAAGGAGAAAGCTCAACACGAGGCCGTGGAAGAATTAATCCAAACTCAAAGTATGACAAATCTCAAATTCGATGTTATAATTGTCAAAAATTTGGGCATTATGCTTCAGAATGTAGAGCTCCCAACAACAAAATTGAGGAGAAGGCCAATTACGTGGAGGAAAAGACAGATGGCAAAGAAACTCTTCTTCTACCACGAAAGGAAACTGATGGTGGCCAAGCAAATTCCTGGTATCTTGACAGTGGTGCAAGCAATCACATGTGTGGAAGGAAAGACATGTTTGTAGAGCTAGACGAGTCAGTAAGTGGAAATGTTTCGTTTGGAGATGATTCCACAATAGCAGTGAAAGGGAGAGGTAACATTCTTATCCGTTTGAAAGATGGGAGACATCAATTTATTTCAAATGTCTACTATGTGCCCAATATGAAAAGTAACATTTTAAGTTTAGGGCAACTGGTAGAGAAAGGTTATGATATTCATATGAATAATTATAATCTTTCTATAAAAGATGATAAGAATAACTTCATTGCTAAAGTGTCGATGTCAAAGAATAGAATGTTCTTGATCAACATACAAAATGATGTTGCAAAGTGCCTGAAAGCTTGCTACAAAGATGCATCATGGCTTTGGCATCTTCGATTTGGGCATCTCAATTTTGGAGGTCTAGAGCTATTATCTAAGAAGGAGATGGTGAAAGGACTACCTCACATCAACCATCCTGACCAACTCTGTGAAGGGTGTCTAGTCGGGAAACAATTCAGGAAAAGCTTTCCAAAAGAGTCAGAGATAAGAGCTAAGAAGCCACTTGAGCTCATCCATACCGATGTGTGTGGACCGATCAAGCCAAGCTCTCTCGGTAACAATAACTATTTTCTTCTCTTCATTGATGATTTTTCAAGAAAAACCTGGGTATATTTCTTGAAACAGAAGTCAGAAGTTTTTGAAGTCTTCAAGAAGTTCAAAGCAGCAGTGGAGAGAGAAAGCGGTAGAAAGATCAAAGCCATGAGATCCGATCGAGGTGGAGAATTTACTTCCAGGGAGTTTCAAGAGTTCTGTGAAGCAAATGGAATTCGTCGACCAATGACAGTTCCTAGATCCCCCCAGCAAAATGGTGTGGCAGAAAGAAAGAATAGAACAATCCTCGACATGGCACGAAGCATGCTCAAAAGCAAGAAACTACCCAAAGAATTTTGGGCGGAAGCAGTATCGTGTGCAGTCTACTTGTCAAATCGATCTCCAACAAGAAGTGTATGGGGAAAGACACCGCAAGAGGCATGGAGTGGAAGAAAGCCTGGCATTTCCCACTTGAGAACCTTTGGAAGTATAGCCCATGTTCACGTACCAGACGAGAGAAGAACGAAGCTTGATGATAAAAGCGAGAGTTTTATCTTCATCGGCTATGATGCTAATTCGAAGGGCTATAAGTTGTACAATCCAGACAATAAGAAGTTTGTGATTAGTCGAGATGTGGTCTTCAACGAAGAAGGAGAATGGGATTTTAACTCTCATACAGATGACTTCAATTTCTTTCCTCAGTTTGAAGAAGATGAGCAGACAATGAGGGAGCAACTAGATGAATCTCAACAAGAGCTTGCAACTCCACCCACTTCACCAACATCAACCACTCAAGGAAACTCATCACCTTCATCATCGTCAAGTGGGAGTCAAAGTGAAAGAGTTGTGCAACGCACAAGAAGCCTTAGAGATCTCTATGAGGTAACTGAACGACAAGATAATCTTACATTATTTTGTTTGTTTGCCGATTGTGAACCAGTGAGCTTTCAAGAAGCGGTACAAGAAAAGAAATGGAGAGATGCGATGGACGAAGAAATCAAGGCCATCGAGAAGAATGACACATGGGAACTTACCTCACTTCCCAAGGGACATAAGGCGATAGGTGTCAAATGGGTGTACAAAACAAAGCAAAATGCCAAAGGAGAGATTGAAAGGCACAAGGCGAGGCTAGTTGCTAAAGGTTATAGTCAAAAGGCTGGAATTGACTATGATGAGGTATTTGCTCCTGTTGCTCGATTGGAGACTATCAGACTAATCATTTCTTTGGCAGCTCAAAACAAGTGGAAGATACAACAGATGGATGTAAAGTCCGCCTTCCTAAATGGAGTTCTTGAAGAGGAACTTTACATTCAGCAACCATCAGGCTATGAAGTCAAAGGGCATGAAGACAAGGTGTTGAAGTTGAAGAAGGCTCTTTACGGGCTAAAACAAGCACCAAGGGCATGGAATAGCCGAATCGACAAGTACTTCCAAGAGAATGGCTTCAACAAATGTCCCTACGAGCATGCTCTATATATCAAGATCAAAGATGAAGATATTTTGATCGTGTGCCTCTACGTGGACGATTTGATCTTCACTGGAAGCAACCCAAGCATGTTTAATGAATTCAAGGATGTGATGATGAAAGAATTCGAGATGACAGACATGGGGCTCATGGCGTACTACCTTGGCATTGAAGTTAAGCAACAAAATGATGGAATTTTCATTTCACAGGAAAGCTATGCAAAGGAGATACTGAAGAAGTTCAAGATGGAGAACTGTAAGCCAATAAGCACACCGGCAGAATACGGGATCAAGATGACCAAACATGAAGAAGGCGAAAGTGTAGATCCAACATTCTTCAAAAGTTTGGTAGGAAGTCTACGCTATCTAACTTGCACGAGACCCGATATTCTTCACGCAGTTGGATTGGTTAGTCGCTACATGGAATCCCCAACAACCACCCATTTTAAAACTGCAAAGAGAATTCTTCGCTATCTGAAAGGTACAATTGACTTTGGCTTGTTCTATTCAGTTTCTAATGATTACAAGCTTGTTGGATATAGCGACAGTGATTGGGGTGGAGACATAGATAATCGAAGGAGCATTACTGGATTCGTATTTTTCATGGGAGATATTGCATTCACATGGATGTCAAAGAAACAACCGATTGTCACATTGTCCACTTGTGAAGCGGAATATGTTGCTGCTACCTCATGTGTTTGTCATGCAATTTGGCTTAGAAATCTATTGAAGGAGATTGGTTTGATACAAGAAGAGCCTACCAAGGTTTGTGTCGACAACAAGTCAGCCATTGCCTTAGCGAAGAATCCAGTATTCCATGATCGAAGCAAGCACATTGATATTCGCTACCACTATATAAGGGAGTGTGTTGCAAGAAAAGATGTGGAAGTTGAATATGTAAAGTCACAAGATCAAGTTGCTGATATTTTTACCAAGCCACTGACCAGCGAAGACTTCTTAAGATTAAGGAACCTACTAGGGGTCACGAGATCAAGTTTAAGGGAGGGTGTTGGATCATAAACTTGATCCATTATGGGAGCCTAAACCCAAACCCAAACTAAATTGATGTCATCACTTA